GTATTAGAAGCAAGATACAGACTCTGAGGTCCATCCTCCCTCCATTATCCTCACTGCCTCTCTCCTTCAAAATGTTTCTCATGACATTATTTAGTAATAGCCTTTGGGAGGGGCCATTGATCTTAGGTTTGGTCTTAGTGTATGTAGGGCATTATTTTTCTACTTTAATTTTTAAAGCTCCAGCTTTTAATTAGAACCCATGTATTTCCTACTACTAGTCAGGATCTCTAGTGAAAAACATATTTTTTCCCCCTCCTTGGAGGTGAGTGTATAGTTAGACTATGATAGCTGTCTTCATCTGTTGAAATACTTAGCTGCTATCTGGCTCCACTTTCTACTTCCTGGTTTTAGGAATTGTCCGCTTTGTATCTAGAAAATTGTAGACATAGGATGTTCTTATTTTAGAACATTGCAACCATTAAAATTTTCAAATTTATGTTAAATTAAAATAATATTTATTGAATGCCCACGTAGTTTAAGACCAGTTGTGCTCTGTTGACTTTTTTTTTTCTTTCAAGGTATTCATATCAGGGGAAAAAAATAGGTCTATGTTATAGGATGATATAAGGCCTCTTCTATCCTGAAATTTCCACCACTCTCTGTATCATTACTTTTCTTTGCTTGAAACTCTAATCCTTCTACTTTTATTACTTTTTAAAAAAAGTTTATTTCTTTACTTACAATTTAAATCTCCTTTCCTACAGAAAAGAGATGTTCCTGGTTGTAGGAGAAGGTCAGAAAAGAGAGTAGAAGATAAAAGCATGGAATTCCTATCCCCAAATTTATTTGGGTAACAAGAATGTCTCCTGAGAATCTTGAGAGGAAAGGACCTCAGAGGTCATTTAGTTTCACCCCCATCTGAAACTTGATTCCCCTCAATAATATCTCTCTAGTAAGTCATCCAGGTTTCTTTTGAAGACCTAAAGGGGAGGTCATCATTATTGTGAGGCAGCCCATTCTGGTTTTGGAGAGTTGCAATTATTAAGAAGTTTTTACTTGCATTGATCCCTGAGGCCTGTCTAATTCTGTAACTTATTTTTTTTTTGGCTAGGCAGTGGGGTTAAGTGACTTGCCCAGGGTCACACAGCTAGTAAGTGTTATGTATCTGAGGCAGGATTTGAACTCAGGTCCTTCTGAATCCAGGGCAAGTGCTCTATCCACTGCGCCACCTAGCTGCCCCTTCCATAACTTCTAAGTCACAGGAATTAGAGTTAGGAGGGACCATTTTCTCCTATTTCTGCTCTCTGGGCTTTTTAAAGCAAGTTTGATTTTTGCTTTCACATGATAGCCCTTCAGGCACTCTAAGTCAGCTTCTCTTTGGTAGGAAAGATAATCAAAACCTGACTGGCACTTGAAGAGTTGTGTCTGTCCAGATCTTTCTATCAGCTGGAAAAGAGTATATCAACTTTAGCTTTCATCAAACCTCTTTATGTTATTTTGTTGTTGTTTATATGGTCATATACCATGTAAGCATGAGATTATAGATCTTTAGCTGGAAGGAACATGGGAGGCCGTCTCATCCACCCGCTTCATGTTATAGATGAAGAAAGGGAAGCTGAGACGTTTCCAAGTGGGAACAAAAGAGAAGTACTTCAGCAAAGGTGCCCAGCATGAGCAGTCCCAGTTTTCTCATCTGTAATGTGATGAGGTTGGACTAGATGGCCTCCCAGACCCCTTCCAGTTCTGTGTCTAGCAGCCCACGATCACTGGCCTCATCATTAACAACAGTCACAGATAACACAAAAAAGTTGTATGTGTGGACCCTCGTTAGACACAAATTCACGTTAGAGAAGTTCAGAGTTGGGAGGGATGTAAGGTTCATCTAACCCAATACAAAGCAGCTACCCACCAAAGGGACTTGAAGGGCTCTAATGAGGGGGGAAACACACTAATCCCCCGGTGGGTCTCCTTTATCTTTGGATAGCTCTAATCATTAGGAAGTTTTCCTTATGTCAAGCCAAGCCTAAATTTGACTCTTGGCAATTTCCACCCATTGTTTCCAGTTCTGCCCTCTGGGACCAAACAGAGTAAGTCTAATCTTTCTTCCACATGCTAGCTCTTCACACACTTGAAGATAGCTGTCTTGTCACCCCTGAATTTTTTCTCTTAGAGGCTACCCATTCTATTCCCAGTTCCTTCAGTCAGTCTCCATATTGTACAATGCCGAGGCCTGTCACATTTTTGGTTGCCATCCTTCTGGACAGTCTCCAGCATATCATGTCCTTCCTCAAATGTAGGAGTGAGCACAGTGCCTCAGATGTGCTCTAACCAGGACAGAGTATAGCCCTATACCTTCATTTGTGTATTTCTGGCTGCTCTCTGATTCTCAATGCAGCTCCAGATCCCATTAGCTTTTCTGGTTGTCTTGTCACGATGTTGACTCTTATTGAACTTTCAGTTCACCAAAACCAGATTTTCTTAATGTAAACTGCTTCCCTACCCATCTTATACTTGTGAATTCAATTGTTTGGACTCAGGTGTAAGACCTTATGTTTATATTAAATTTTAGATTATTCAATTTGGCCCAGTTTTTTAGCCTGTTAGTATCTTTTTGAATCCATCAAGTGTGTTAGCCATTTTTTTTGGTTTCTTGTGCAAATTTAATAAGAATGCCATCTATGCCTTTACCTGAGTCATGATGAAAATAAGAACAGATCACTGGGGCACCCAACTGCAAATCTCCTTCCATGTTGTCATTGAGCCATTAATTGCTAGTCTTTCGTTTTGTCCATTGAATCACTTGAGTCCATTTAATTATATTATCATCCGACCCATATAACTGCATCTGTTCCATATATTTTGTTTTTATTCAGCAGAATTATACATATATATATTTATTTAAAAAATAAACCAATGGCTTGATTATTTAATTAATTTGGCACTGATGACTAGCTTTATATTGTTGTCTTTTCAGGTGAATGTGTCTTCTGATTAAAAACTCCAGTTGAGGCCAGGGATATATATCCTTCTCAGGGTCTAACACAAAGCTCATTATATAGTTGGGCCTCAATATATATCCAGAGATTTCTTTCTTAGAAGTAAGAATTATTTGAGAATTATAAGAGAGGCAGATAGATTAGTCATAGAGCCAGGAAGCCCTGGGTGAAGGTCCTGCCTCTGCCACATACTGACTATGTAATCTTGAGCAAATCACTTAACCTTCAAGTGCCTCATACAACTCTTATGTGGGCTTCAGAGAAGGTACACTCGTAGAGGAGTTTCTCGATAAGGGATGAAATCATAGATCCAGTTAAAAATAATGATGTGATCTTATAACTGTGAGGTATTTAGAGTTTCATTTTTTGATTTATAGAAGTTATAGAATAACTTTAAGCGTTGGTGAAGGACAGGAATAAAGTAATGGAAAATGGGATTCACTGACTTACTGGATCCTTACATAGTTTATTAGAAGTCTTAACATAGTGTGTGGCGGTATGTCTGTTCACACAAGTTAGCAATGGCACCCTCAGTACTATAATAGCCTTCATCACTATCTTCTCAAGGGCTACAGGAACAGTAACTGTCCCCCAAAGTGTAGATAACACTTTGCATATGTGGTGACATATACTGTGAAATTTATTCTTTAGAAGTTTTATAATTAAAATTGTTATTATGACTTTAGTACTTAAAGGATTTGTGGTTTTTTGGTGTAGATAAAACTCCCTTCACTCCACATTGCAGATTGCAAGCCTTTTGTGCTGTAGGAGCTCTGTGTGAGTTGCTTTGGCTGAGATAGTAATTACCAAGGTATAGCCATCTTGGTGATAAACTTTTCCAAAGTTATCTGGGCTGGACTTCAGAAGATCACCAGGCCTGTAGTTCAAGGTGTTTCAACATGGAAGGAAATGTCACAGCTTAGGTAGGTTGGAATTGCCTTCAAGAACTCAGGTTTAATTCTCTGTCCTAATGAGACATCAGAGTAGAACTAGAATGGTGTTATTTTGATACCTAATTGTTATTGAATTTTTTCTTTTTTATTTCTTTCCACCAAATCATTCTTAATGATTAATTTTTGTAGCATTAATGATAACATTTGAAAATTTTCAGCATCATTATTTGGGAAGAACTCTGTTGGAACTGAACTATATTTTGTTCTTTTGATGCTGCTTTTATATCACTTACATTTAAGTGAGGTAGGTTTCTGTTTTGAATCAAGTCAAATTATTTTTCAAAATCAAGAAAAGGTTTACAAATGGTTATTATATCTATCTTTTTTGGAGAGCTAAAGCTATAGGCTTGAATCAATCTGCCAGCAGAGGGCAGCCTTTCCCCACCCAGTCCTGGCCCTTTTGTATCACTTGGAGAGTGGAAACAATCCTTTAGCTCGCCTCAGTTGATTCATGTACATATCTTTGGTAATAAGAAATTCAAGCTAATTTGGTGTTTGGTATGGATAAGAGGTTGTTCTCTATTTCTGGCAGTTTAGTTTTCTGGCAAAGCCACTTAGAAAATAGAATCTTTTAAAGTCTTTTTTACTCAACCTTACATTTTCAGTTAATGTTCTGTTACATGGTTTTGTATAGTTATGGGCTGGGGATGAGTATCGTGTGTGTGTGTGTGTGTGTGGAGAGAGAGAGAGAGAGAGAGAGAGAGAGAGAGAGAGAGAGAGAGAGAGAGAGAGAGAGAGAGAGAAGATCTTTATTGTGTGCATGCTATACAAATGGCCATTATTGGGTGTACTGGTTGTGCAAAGTGTAATTTAAGGCACTGAGACACTGCTGGCCTCAATGAAATAGAGACATTTGGAGGAGAGATGGTGTAGGATTGAAGATGGTGAGTTCAGTTTTGAATGTGTTGAGTTTTGTGTCCTGATGGGACAACTAAACTTGAAAGAACATCTAAAAATCTCATTTTGTAAAATTAAGGAAAAAAATGGACTTGTTATACTGTTAATGTGTCTTTTTCTGTAGGTTTTGATTTTATGAAAGATGCCATTTAGTTACTTTAACTACATTTGACTCTAATTTACTTTTTTGAAATATTGTTTATTTTGGTTACAGGTTGATCATTTTGGATTTGATGTTAATTTGACATTTAAACAACGGTACTTAATAGCAGATCAATACTGGAAGAATGATAATGGTGCAGTACTTTTCTACACTGGAAATGAAGGGGACATTACATGGTTTTGCAAAAATACGGTATGCATAAGCTTATGAAACTTATCATGTTTATAAAATTTGCCTTTCTGAGAGGACTGGATGAAGGCAGGAATATGCAGATTCCATTTTAATTTGAAATGTTCTGTTTTATGTGTTTAGTGGTAACAACAAGCTAGAAGCTTACTTTTGTAGGATTATAGTTTTAGAACTAGAAGGGTACTTAAAGATTACCTAGTCCAAATCTCTTATTTTATATGTATTGGGGGGTTACACTTCAGGGAGCATGCATAGGGATGGGCATATAGGGGCCATCCCATAGAGCATGGGCCAGAGCTCCCATGGCAGTTTCTATGACAGGTATGACGGTGCTAAATTAGTTTGGTGCTTTGAATGATGAAGCAATCCCCTTACTGGCCACTGCTGACTCAGTGGTCCTTGAAAAGGAGTGACTCTGACCTTCACCTTCACACTACTCTTGTACACCCTCCTGCTGTCCCTCAGCAAGTCAGGCCCCTTTCACTCTTTCCCTGAGCAAATAGGAGCTAATGTGTATTTCTTCTGGTAAGCCAGGGCAGAGCTTGGAGTTACTCCTCCTGTCTGCAATCATCTCCAAGACAGGAATAGTTGTAGACGTTGGAGAAATTCTACAATTATTAAATGACATCTGTAAGATCATAGAATTTTGAGCTAGAAGGTACTGACCAGTCTACAACTATAGCATTCTGTTCTGTCTGAGGGACCTGAGACTTCTAGATCACTCACAAAGATGTCTGTAAGGCTAGAAATGTCCACCTCAGAGGCACTATTCAGTCATCCATACTCAGAAAAGAAGCAAAGCAGAAGAGGCAGCTACAAACCCAGGCCCAGGCTGGCATGGCCAGGACAGGAGCTTCAGCTGCCACCAGCTCACAGCCTTCATACTGCTAGGGTTGGAGAAGGGCCCAATTTCTATTCTCCCATAGTAGCATTTAGAAAAACTAGAACTTTGTATTTTTTATAGGAAGACATGCAAATCTAATTATGTTGTAATTGTACAGAAGCCAGAAATTTGAATTTTGTTTTTTGTTTTTATTATAATTATAAGAAATTAAGGAATTATATTAAAATTAATCAGAGGATCTCAAAAAAAATACCTTTTCATTTACTTGTCAGCTCTATGGTCTTGAGTAAATCACCCAGCCACTTGGAGCCTAAATTTATTCATATTTGGGCATAATTCCTATTCTCCTTACCTCACAGTGTAATTGTGCAGTTCAAGTGAGATAAGTTATACAAACTTTTGTAAACTATGATATGTTGTTCAAATGTGAGGGGTTGTGCTTGTCTAAAAGCTATTCAGTTGTATTAGATCACCTGATAAAGGAATTAAGCTCATCTTTCTTCTAGGAATTCTCTTTGGCTCCTTTATGCCCCTTCTCAGACCTGATTGTTCTTCTCTAGGAGCCCACTTATATGATTTTTCTACCTCCATGAAGCATCTTGACCTCGTGGCAAGAACTGGACTTTGAGTCCGAGGATCTGGGCTTCAAACTCACCTATCTGTGTAATCTTTGATAAGTCACTTGTTTTCTCGGGGCCTCAGTTTCCTTATCTAGTCAGATTAGATGAAGACTAAGATCCCTTCTGGTGCTAAATCCTATGATCCTGTGCATGTCATTTAATATTTGAATTACTAAAATGTAAGTATGTACGTATATATCTATGTGTGTATACATACATACACATATACACAGATATCTTCTTGGTCAGTCATTTCAGTCGTGCATGATTTTTTGTGACCCCATTTGAGGTTTTCTTGGCAAAGGTACTGGAGTGGTGTGCCATTTCCTTCTCCAGCTTATTTTATAGATGAGGAAACTGAGGCAGACAGGGTTGAGTGACTTGCCCATGGTCACCCAGCTAGTAAGTGTCTGAAACCAGATTTGAACTCAGAAAGATGAGTCTTCCTCGACTCCAGGCCTGGCACTCTATTCACTGCACTACCTAGGTGCCCCATGTGTGTATATGTATGTATGTATGTATGTATGTATACACACACACACACACACACACATATATATATATATGTACACACACGTACATATAAACTAGTCTTTTGACATTGAGAACAGGTCATTATATTTTAGTTTATGGCTGGTAAATTTTATTTTCAGGTTTATAGACTGCACTTGACAGTATAGCCAGTCTTGGGTTGAAAGCATCTATCTGACAAACGACTGTACATTGTAAGGGGGTGCTCCGTATTGCCCCGCTCCACCCCAACCATACTGAAACCCTCTGCCACTGCCAGGGGAGCAGTCGTGAATTGTGACACTACCTTCCATTTGTAAAATGTTTTATAAAAGTTTTCCAAGTACTTCCACAAATGTTTGTTCTCTATTAGGTAAGAAGGACATACATTACTTCCATGTGGGAAAAAAAAAACAACAACCTTTAATCTTTTAGAGAATTTTGTTGGTTAGAGAATAGTGAAAAGAAGAATGAGCTATAAAAAAGCAGGGGCTGTATACACTCTCAGACTGGACTGATCTGTTTATTTTGTGGTGTCCTGTCTCCAAATCTTTTCCAACATAGTGCTGGCAGCCTCTTCCCCTCCATCACATGGCTCCTGAAATTGTACCAATTAATGATTCCTGTAGGTTAACAACCATCGTATTAAAGATGAACACTTTTCTGAAGCGTGAGGGTCTACCTGTACTAATGTGAATCAGTTCAGACTTTGGATCACATTTTCAGTGTCTCAGTTACCTCTTTTTTGAATGGAGAAACTTATTCTATTTCCCAGATCTATCTGTTTTATTCTCAGGAAGTTATTAGATCAGGCAAATACACACTTTAAGGATCTGTGATTTATTAAAGGTATGGGTATGCCTTTTACCAATATAGATTGCAATTCCTCTCTACTTTAGAAGGTGGTTCTTGTGAATTTCTGTGATTCTTGCCCCCAAATAAAATTATCACCCAATGGCTAAGCTTCTGGTGATGAGCTTCATGGAATTTTAGTCAGTTTGGTCGTCTGGTCCAAAAGATGATAGTCTTTTGACAAGCCCGTATTTGATGCCTTTCTCACTTGGTAGAATTTGCCAGAGTTTGCATTCTGCTATAATACCATTCTAGAAGCCAGGGTCGTCTCTGTGCCATGATGAGGCAATGGAGGAGGCAGCCATGAAAGGGAATACAATTTATTTATTTATTCTCTGCATGGGTCCTGGATGGGGAAATTGGATGCTTTCCCAGCTCCTCAGTCAAATCTTCTCAGTCTAAGGCGTCGTGATTGTTTTAGACCAAAATCCCAGAATGCTGTACACACATATTCAAATGTTAAGTACAAAAACACATTATAAAAGCTAATTACATTATGTTTTTTGAACTTTCTAAGCTTTACAATTAGTATGAATAATTGGGAATTGACTGTATATCTAATTCAGTCAGGGGCATATTGAAGTACTGGTATTCCTATGTAGGACTAACTATTTTCACATGGCCAGTCACTCCTAATCTTCTTGACCCTGTTTATGTATTTGGAATGAAGGAAACATCGGTCTCTGGTTTTGTTATGTACGGTGAATATGAATGTTTGAACTTGTTTATAAAGGTTTCCTTTCAAGAGAGAATGGGAAAAGGTAGGAAACAGCTGATTACATCTTTTAAAAGATGTCTTGTTCTATAGTTTTTATTAATTTGTTTGAAAAAAAATGAACTTAACCCTCATCCTGAACTATTGACGTAGATTTATTTCCACTTTCCTCCTCTACTCTAATCAGAGACGAGTATTAGTGTATGAGAGTATTGTACCCCCCTTTACACAAAAGTGCATACATATGCTTATATACATACTTCTATGCTTGTGTGTGCATATTTATAACTATATGTACACATCCTGTCTCTACTATTTACTCTCTCTTTGACATTGGACAAGTCATTTCCCCTCTTTGGCCCTCGCTTTCTTCCCAAAAATGTTGAACTAGATGATTCCTGAGTTCACTTTCAGTTTTTAATTCCCATGTGTATACATACATGGGTAAACATACAGCATACGTATACACACACTTAACAGGGTAATTGGATAATAGGGTGAGAATGTGGCTCGGTGGGTTGGGGAGAATGTATGTGGGTAATGAACTAAGCTAAGGAAGAAGGACCGTTTAGTAGGTGACTGCTTGTAATTAGATAGATGGCAAAGAGAGTAAGCGATCATTGGAGTAATAACAGAATATGTTTGTAGATACTGGATTAAACTCAACCAGATGGGTTGAACTAGTCTAATAGTTTTTTTCAGTAAAAAAGGTGGGAGTCTTAGACTTCATTAAAGCACATTAGTATATTAAAGAATAAATTATATTTACCTTTTCTCTTTTATTTTGGAGTCCCCAAAGTGGATGTTTTAAAATTTTCCAATTTAATAGGCCTACATTCCTGACTGAGGACTTACAATCCTTCATGCTCATTCATTAATATTTCTATAATGGTTCAAATATAGCTTAATATCTATACTCCCTCCACCTTTGGCTTATAAATATCTATGAGAGTGGGAACTATCTTCAGCATTCTCAATGATTCCCTGAAACATCTAGTAATATTTTTTGACTGGATCTTTTACTTACACGGATCATTCTGTTGTGGGTCAAAATCAGAGGCTGGGATAATTGGCAAATTGCAGTAATTTTAAATGATCACATTATAATATGAATGTAGTGATCAAAAGTGAGGTCCAGAGCTTTCATTCATCTGTAGAACAGGCATAAACCAAGCAACTTCTTGGAGTGCTTAAGGAATTACATTTTCAAAATAGATCTTTTTAGATCTCTTGTACATGCATTTAGTTTTTTTCTTAGAGCCAGTTGTTATCTTGTGTATTTATAAACTGTTTCTAGGGCTTCATGTGGGATGTGGCCGAGGAGCTAAAAGCCATGTTGGTGTTTGCTGAACATCGCTACTATGGAGAATCCTTACCCTTTGGTAACCTGTCATTCAGTGTAAGTGTATGTTTATTAACTTGGAGAAACTGTTTAATGAAGCTCAGGAGACTTGGTTTCTTGTCCCAGTTTTGCCAGTAACTAGTGCTTCTTGGGGTGGGGGGCAGGACATTTTTCCTACTGCTTATGTTGCAAGACATTTCCTTCCTGTCTCCCTTCCAGAAGAGGTGGATTAGTCCGTCATCAATCCAGAGGCTTCAGTTGGCTGTAACCCAAATGAGGCATTCCCGACCCTCAGCAACAGGGCCACTCTGTGTTCAGACCTGCCCATCACTGGTCCAGTTTGCAAAAGGAGCTTTATACCCTGAAGATTAGTTAATTAAGACATCTCGTTATTATAACACTAAAAAAAATCATTATTTACTGATCTGAAATAATATATACACTATTATTTGTTGATCTACAAAACCATTTGATTGATAGGAGGTTAATGGGCCTTAAAAACAGTTTGGGAAACTATGTGATTATTTTGGATTAAAAAAAAAACAAACCTCATCCATGCATCACGTACTCAGAGAATATATGCTCTATTACCAAAATTGCATAATTTTATAAAATGCTATGTATGTTGTCATTAGAGATGATTCTCCTCTATCATTCATTTATACAGTCACAAAATTTGTGGTATCAGCAAAATGAGGGAAGTTGTATAATATCCTATTAGAATTAGAAAATATGTTTTAATCAGCTGTATATTTCCATGAAGTGATGAAGCAAGAACAGTAGTATTTGGAGGTCAGAAGTCAGGCCACAAGGAGGATTTCAGAAGAAATGTAGAAGGGGAACCAAGTGAATAAATAGGTGGTCTAAAAGGGATAGGAAATCATGAAGTACAGGACTATACCTCCTGATTCAGGAGGGTGGCACAAAGGGCAAATATCCTGGAGAAATGATAACAGCAAAAAAATGGAGATGAAAACTAAGAAGGAAGATAACATAAAACTTGTGAAGGAAGCTCCATACAATAATGGGAGTCAAGCAAAAAGGTAGGCATGCAGCTGTCACCTAGACTGGTAAATATGTGATCATAAAGTTGTAAAGCAGGGGTTCTTGACTTGAGGTCTATGAACTTGCTTAATATTTTGATAGCTATCTCAACTTAACTGGCTTCCTTTATTATCCTATATGTTTTATTTTATGTATTTAAAAATATAACTCTGAGAAAGGGTCCTTTGGCTTCACCAGACTGCCAAAGGGACTCATGACACAAAAATGGTTAAGAACTCCTATTCTAGTTTACCTCCCTACCTCTCTGGACACCCAGGCTCTATAGAAGGTGGCTTACATGTGCTGGCCCCAGAGGTCCTTTTGGTAGTTACTAAGGGCATGCAGCTGCCCTTAGAAATTGACCAGGATCCTAAGCATGTTCCAGGATGATATGGTTGGTTCTACGAAAATGGAAATTTCTCTGTCTCATGTTGATCAATTGATCAGCCCTGTAAAGCAGGGTTTAATTAATAAATTTGGTCCTACTAACATTATTTTGTACGACCATTTTAAAGGATATGTGGTATTGGAATACCTTTAGGAATTAAAAAAAAAACTTAATAAGTAATAGTACCTATCACTGAGACATTTATTCAAGAGTCTGTTACATTGTTGATTGTGGTCTTGAAGAAACTATGAAAACATGCCAATACTTAATGAATCTGTGATCACATTGATGTGAGTATTCCCTTACTTTGTTGTAGTTTGCAAATTGACCAAACTTTTTTGTCTTCTTCACTTTTTTTCACTCTGTCATATAGAGGTCCATAGCATATCTACCCAGTCTGTAGGAGACCTTCTTCAAGTCTTTTTATGTGAAAAAATATTTAAAGATGAACTATTTTGCAGATATAGTAATTAGAAAGCTGTGGTAATCTCTGCCATAGTTTACACTTTGTAGCCCCTGGGGGCCTAGCCCAGAGCCTTTGGTGAGACCACAAGCACTTAAGTGCTTGGCTTTGTGCTAAGCACTGGGAATACATACAAGCAGAAAAAAAAAGACCTTTCATACCCTCAAGGAGCTTCCATTCTAAAGGGGGGGGGGAACAGAAAAGAATCTGAAAAGGGAGGTGGGGAGAACTGAAGGTATCTAGTTTGGGCATAGTAGAGAAAGCCCAAAGGAGAGTCATCAGGGGAGCTTGGGGAAAAAATGAAGACTGGTGTGGGGAGGGAAAGGGGGGCTGAGCTGTCCTAACTAAAATAGAGGTTCTAGGAGGAACCAGTTCATTAAAGGGAGAGGCAGTTAGTTCCTCAATAAATATTTGATAGCTTAATTAAACTAACATGGTAGCTTGGGAAATTTTTCTAGGATTACATGACAAGTTCAGCTATTTTTGTCTAATGTTCTGGAGTGTGTCTTTAGAACTTAATTTGTCAGTAACTATATGAAGCTTTCTTCATCTTTATGAAAAACCCTGCACATTTAGACCTTGTGCAATTTTAAACTTGATTTTAGATGTGATGAATTTGATCTGTAATCTTTTTGGTAAAATTTATTTTCCCAACTTAAATCAGTTTCAGTCCTCAGTCAGTAAATAAACATTTGTTAAGCACCTACTGTGTGCCAGGCACTGTGCTAAGCCTTGGGGATACAAAGAAAGGCAGACAGTCCCTGTGCTCAAGGAGCTCACAGCCTAATAGGGGAGACAACATGCAAACAGCTTTGTACAGAAGAGCTATATACAAGATAAATTGGAGCTAATAGAGGGAAAATGCCAGAATTGGGGGGATTGGGAAAGGATCTTGACTTTCTCATCTAAATATCAATTTTTTTCATTTGTCAGAATCTGATAAGAATATGCTTTGACTAATTGCATAATGAAGTTACTTTAAATTTTTTTATGAATCAGCTTTTGCCCTGTGTATATTTTGTTTCTTTGATGAACACTACCAAAGCTTCACAGGATAAAAGTATCCTAGACCTTTTCTTTAAAGACATAGTAACACTGATATGTAACTGAAACTTAATCGATAACAAAGATATTAAGTCTAAGTATCATATATATGTGCTGTTTCATTACCCCAAAATACTTTAGCAATAGCAGTTGTTTAATTAAGGATACTAATTGCATTGATCAGCCACCTTGACTGGATTGAACAAAATTCTCAGTGATCTTTTGTTTCTTATCTAGATTAAAGCTGTGCTTTATTTGCCATTTATAGTGCTATTTGTGATTTTTCTTTAGGATTCCAAGCACTTGAATTATCTGACATCAGAGCAGGCTCTGGCTGACTTTGCAGTTTTAATTGAATACTTGAAAAAAACAATCCCAGGTGCTAAAAACAGTCCAGTCATTGCTATAGGAGGCTCGTATGGAGGGATGCTTGCTGCTTGGTTCAGAATGAAATATCCTCATATAGTAATTGGGTGAGTGCAAACCCAGTGAATAGTAGTACATCTTAAAGATTTTAAATGCAAATCTAATTTATATTAAAATTTGTTCATTCTAATCTGTATTGTAAATCTCAGTTTAGATTTCTTCAATGAATATTTTTTCCTTATTTAAACATCTGCACAATCTCATCTAACATTTTAAAGTTAGAATTCTACAAACTAATCTTTTTCTCTTTTTCCCTATTCCTTTTTTCCCACTTTTTATGTTTTTCCTTTAATTATTCAGAGCTCTTGCAGCCTCTGCTCCCATCTGGCAATTTACGGATTTGGTCTCTTGTGGAAAATTTTTTGAAATTGTAACCAATGATTTCAAGAAAAGTGGCTCTGAGTGTTCAGAAACTATCCAGAGTTCCTGGAAAGCAATTGATAGGCTGACATCCACAGGTAAGTATGTGAAATTGATTTTCCAAGTCAAATAGAAGACTTTTTAAAAGTTTAAAACTCACATCAATTGTTGCTGATTTTTATTAAGAACCAGAAATTTGGTCTGAAAAAAGATTTTGAATTATAGAATGATGTTGTACATACTTGTTTTTTCCTGATTTTTAATGGATACTTTTCTAGTCCCCTGAAATCCCTTGCTTACATTAAGCATGGCTATCTGATTGACAGGTATAGCAAAGAGTCTCATATGAAGCAGATTCAATTTCAGTTCAACAGATTTTATTAATCTCTTTCTATGTTCAAGATACTGTGGTTAACAATGAACCAGTTCCTGCTGTCAAGGAGATTTTTAATTTAGTAGGGGACTTAAGTCATACTTTTTCTCAAAACTTCAGATGTGTGATTTCAACAATTTGAATATTCTCATTACCAATGCAGATCAAAATCTGCTTTCCTCCTCTACCTCCTCTCCTTTCCCTAATCTCCCATCCCCTTACTCACCTTAGTAGATGGCCTATGTAAGTTGCTGTGACTCCAAAAAATTCATCTAATGGCTTACTTTCTGGTGATGACATTTTCAAAACAGTACTAAGCTGGACCTTGGAAACAAACATGCAGCTTGTTATTGCACTTGCTTTTGAAACCTTTCCAGACTGACCTACTGAGATTATGCCCTGCTGGCATAGTCTTCAAGAACCTAGGGTCACCTCTATTCCACAGTGAGGCATTGGAGTAAGATATACCCAAGACAGGAAGGAATTATGGACAGTGGGATGGGGAGGAAGAGGAGAGGGAATCAGAAAAAACTCTAAGGAACAGGTGACATTTGAATTGGACCATGAATGATGGGTAGGACTTTTAAAATTGGGAATGGGAGAAGGCAGTCCAGGTAAAGTAATATGAAGAAAGACATTTAGGTAGGAGACCATTGGGCATATTTAGGAAACAACAGGCTGTTCAAAATAGCCAAAGCATAGGATGTGTGAAGGTAGACAGTGGGCAACGTGACTTCCAAGTTGAGACCAGAGTATGTAGAACCTAGAATATCATGCAAAGGAACTTGGACTTCATTCTGTAGACAGTAGGGAGTCTGCATCATCAGACTGGCATGTTAATAGGTTTTTCCTTAAATTACTTTAGCAGCAGCACATAGAATATATTGGAACAAGGACTAACTGGAGTTAAAAGTATTGATTAGAAGGTTAATGCTTTAGTCTAAGTGAGAGCTAATGAGGGCCTGAATTAAGAGTGTAGCAGTGCGGGTGAAAGGAACAAGATAGATGCAAGAAAGATTTGGAAATTAAATTAATAGTACTTAATGACTAATTGAATGTGTTGTAGGGTCAACGACAAGAGAAGATAACTGATCTTTTGTGCTTAGGTGACGAGGAGAATGGTGACGCCAATCACAAAGATAAGAAAGGTAGAAAGAAGAACAAGAAGGATTTTTTATTGTTTTTGGCTGTGTTGAATTTGAGGTGCTTGTAATAGAGATGTCAAATGGGCAGTTGTAAATATGAATCTGGAGTTGACGTTGGTACTGGATGTAAGATATGAGAATCATTTAAGAGAGATGATAGTGGAGGCTCTGGCAGTTGATGAGGTTGCCTAGGGCAAGAATATAAAGATAGGTGAGGAAAGAGGACCAACAATTGTAGCTTTGAAAGGGGAGAAAGAGGAAAACAAATTAATGAAAGGAGGCAGCAATAAAAGTTAGAGGGGTAGGAGGAAAAACTAAACGTTGTCACAGAAGCTAAGGGAGGAGTATGTTTCAAGGAAGTCGTGATCAGGGGAAAATGCTGGAGAAAAGTCAAGGATGAGAACTAAAAAAAAAAGCCAATGAATTTGGCTGTTAGGTCATTGGTGATTTTAAGACAGTTTTTGGAGAATGGAAAATGTTAGAACATAATTACAAGGTATTGAAGAAGTGGTTTGAGAAGCAAAGGTGGGTAGAGGCAGCTAAGTATAGACTATTTTAAGAAGTTTTTTCTTTTAGTGAAAGTGGGGTGAGAGATGAAACAGTAGCTTAACAGGATAGAGAAAAGGAATTTTTTTTAAATGATAAGGGGAAATTACATCTTTCTTCCAAAGTGTAAAAAGTCAATGGAGAGAAATTATTGCAATAGTCTGCTGGTGGATCTGCCTGCCTCAAGTCCATCCCCACTACAATCCATCTTCTATTCAGCCATTAGAGTGATTTTCCTAAAATGCAAGTCAGATCATGTCACCTCAGTAAACTCCAGTGGCTTCCTGTTGCATCCAGGAGCAAATATAAAATGCTGTGTTTGGCATTCAGAGCCCTTCATAACCCAGCTCTGTCCTCTTCTAGTCTTCTTACATCTTACTCCTTGACTCGTACCCTTCAATCCAGTGACACTAGCTTCCTGGCTGTCCCACGAACAGGACACTCCATTTCTTGGCTCTGGCCATTCTCTCTGGCTGTCCCCCATGCCTGAAATGCTCTCCCTCCTCTGCTGTGACCACTGACCTCCCTGGCTTCTTGAAGTCCCAACTAAAATCCCACCCTCTATAAGGAACTTTCCTAACCCTTCATAATTCCTTCTTTTAATTTAAAAATTTAGTGCTTTCCTTCTTTTAATTTTTTTCCTACTTATCCTACATATAGCATGCTTTGTATGTATTTGTTTGCATGTTGTCTCCCTCATTAGATGGTGAGCTCCTTTAGGGCAGGGACTATCTTTTCCTTCTTTTTGTGTCCTCAGTGCTTAACACAGTGACATTAAACATTAAGGAAACAGGAGATGCTTATTGTTTATTGATTCACTGACTAACTGATTAAAAATGTTAGAAAGAAGGGGTTCTTCATGGTGCAAGGTCATTGGAGGATGAGATCATTGAAGGACATCAGAACGAGGAAATGGGCAGAGGGATTGCCATTGGAAATGGAGAGACTTCTTCCTCTGGACAGCAGGGAGGTGGGGAGAGAAGAGATGCCATGCAGAAAATTTCTGTGGGAATGAGGACTGCATGGTGATGGGTTGAAAGAAAAGAAGATAAAGGAGCTTGTATTTGATAGCCTTTATCTGAAGCAGCTGGGCAGCACAGTGGACAGAAGGCTAAGTCTGGAGTCAGAAAGTCCTGAGTACAGATCTGGCCTCAGATACTTACTAGCTGTGTGACCTGACACTGGGCAACTCAATTAACCTCTGTCTGCCTCAGTTTCCTCAATTGTAAAATGGGGATAATAGTACCTACCTCCTAGAATTGCTGTGAAAATCAAATGAAATGATATTTGTGAAGTGCTTAGCATAATCTCTGATACGTAGCAGGGGCTATGGGCTGATAAACCCTTGTTCCCTCCCTCTCTTCTAAAGTAAGAAGACAGTGATGGGGTAAGAGGTGACATTGCTGCTTTGACGATAGTTTGAAGAATCACTCATCAGTTTCTAAAGTTAACTCCTTGGAGCTCTGGGTAGGTATGTTATGTACATTACCATAAATGTGAGTAAATGAATATGTAGGTGCATTGAAAACAACTGGCTAGGTAGCAGGAATTTGTAGTGGCACTAATCAGAAATGTTATGTAACTTTGCCCCCGTGTGCTTAAGCATTGTTGGAGAAAGAATTGTTGATGTAGTGTACTCAGGCTTAGAATTGGCAAGGATGGGTGCTGTGGTTGAAAATAACAGGGATGAAGAATTTTAGGATGCTGGTGAAGTAATAGCTGGATTGGCTATGAATATAAGTTGGGAAATAAGCAAGCTGGTAGGGATCAAGAGAATGAAAGTTATGATGAGAGCAAATAGCTGGTTCAATAGGAGTGAGGTAGTTGTCTTTTGAGAAGGGAATTTCAAAGTTTATATTTGTGGAAGTGGAGACATTTTGAGTGATGACAAGGTCCAAGGTGTGGGTGAAGTAAAGCAAATATATGAAAGTCATTAGAGTTATGGAGATAGAGAAACCATGAGCACAAAGTATTGGAAATGCCATCAAAGATCAGTAAAAGTTGAAGTCAACAAGGATGGTGGTAGGAGTTAGTACAGAAAGAGAGAAATGCTGAAGTTGTTGAGAAAAGTAGGGAATCAGTATATTTGGCATCAATATATAGTGTACATAAAACATATATTAAGCTTTTAACTGTGTGTCAAACACTGTGCAAAGTGCTGGGTGATGCAGATACAAGCAAGCAGGACGGTTCTTGCCCTCAATGGCCTTACATTCTTTGACAAGGAGAAGATAACACATAAAAGGGATCTGGAATTCTGGGTAGTGGAGATTCAAGTGTTGTGGCATGGTTTGGAAAAGGTGCCAGGAAGTGAGGTGGAGACCTGATCCTAGGCAAAATAAGGCAAAAACCTTACTATTTGGAGCCCAGGGAGGTTCTGAGGAAGAGTTCAAGGTTGTGGTGGAGATAAGGATGGTGACTAGAGTGCAGAGGGCATTGTTTGGAAATGTAGCTGGGAATAATAATAATAATGACAGCAACAAAGATGAGGAAAAGGTGGTTTACTGAATCTTTAAAAATTGTAAAAGCACATACATCTTCATTTCCTGAATCTTTTGCTCTAAAGAGGAGTGAAATTCAGCTTATTTATATGCTTTGATAATAATATTCATAACATTTTATCAGCTGAATTGATTCTTGAACTTCTTTAAAAAGGGAAATAAATGGCTGTGTGCTTAAATTGGCTGTACCTTAAAGAAAACAAATTTTCTCTTGATCAGAAGAGCTTTTTAAAAAAAGTATAGACTCTTACTCGTCTTGCTGGAAGATGAGGGAGCTTTGGTCGAGAGACTTTTGGTGTCTTTTGCCATTCTTGTCTAGTCTGTTGCTACCCAAATTTATTGATGGTCTTTGGATTAGGCATTGGACATTAATGTACTTGGAGGTTGAGCCTCAGAAAATATAGACTCCATTTGGTTTGAGAGATATATTTATGATGGCTATCAAGCATTCAGACTGCAAGGGAAAGTTATTATCTCAATGATGAATCTCTAAACCTAATCTAGGAATCAAGCACAGGGATTATAAAGGGAACTCCTTAGCTCAGTATGAATGAACATGGAAATCTACAAAACAATGACTGATATAATAAAAAAATCTTTAACAACTCTAGGAATATGAAACAGTACAAAATTAGAAAGATTTGTAGATTTGTCTTTTGGGCATACTCTGACATGAGGCCACATGGGAAAATGAAAGAAAACGCGATCCAGAAAGAGACATTTAGGTTTCCCAGTGATTCATCTTTCAGAAGTGGAGAAAGCCTGACCAGAGAGCAAGGTCAGGCTACTGCTCCTCCCTAGCTGAGGTCAGGGTTGTCATAGAAAACCTACTATTTACAGTTTACGACACAATTCAGTAAAAGGTTTCATTTCACCCATAGTTATAAGCCAAGGTAGGAAGAAATATTAAATTACATAGAGAAGGATGTTTCAATGGATCAAGTGAGCTTGTGAATGTCTGCTCTTTCTCATAGGTGCTTATAGTACACAGGAAGTACATAGTTCTGCTGGTTTTACAACTAGTCAGTCACCTACCTTGAAGGCCATTTGTTGTGTTTCAGGGTAAGGGAAGCAGAGATATCTTAATCTGCTAGTATTGTTATTGGCCTTGGGGGCTGAGACAGGATGGACTCTATCTTTTGGTTGACCTTGCACAAGAACTGGGGTAAAGGAAGGCAAAACATAGAGCCTAGATGTGACTGCCACCATTCATTCAATAGAGACCTCTTCTAAAGTGGAGCTACGTCTGTCAAGAAAGAGAAAATACAGTGCCTCTCACTTTCTACCGCCACATGGTCAAGGACAAAGACCCAGGAGTCTTGTCTGAAGACGTGTCTATTACCTCTGAGCAAATCAGGCCACATCAGGCACAGTCTTGTGCCTCCTTGTCAAAATGGAAGGCTCTTTCCTAGCTTTTCTTGGGATTCTCTTATTCTGCTTGTTTGATTCTCTCCAAGGATCAGCTGATGTGGCACCTTACCTTCTACATTCGGTATTCTGCCAGCCCAGGAGTCAGTTTGAATAAAAGGGCAGCTAAGTGGTGCAGTGGCTGGAGCATCCAGGCTTCAGATCAGGGAGACCCGAGTTCAAATATGGCCTCAGACCCTTACTAGCTATGTGACCCTGGTCAAGTCACTTACCCTCTGTTTGCCTCTGTTTCCTCATCTATAAAGTGGGAATAATAATAGTACTTACCTCCCAGGATTGTTGTGAGGATCAAATGCCATAATGATTGTAAAGTACTTAGCATGATGCCTGGTAATAGTAGGTGCTGCATAAATGGTAGGTATTATTCTTTTTTATTGTAAAGCACTTAGAACAGTAGCTGGCACATAGTAAGTGTTACATAAATGTTAGCTATCATATTTATTATTATGGACAGTTTTCACATTACATAAATTTGTGTTACACAAATTCAACTGTACATAAAGAATTCTGAGAGAAATCTGCATTCCAAAAAAACCCAAAAGCCTACTTTAACTTTACTGTACAGTCCTGTGGGCTCTTTCTCTACTTGCCTCTAGGACAAAATATAAATACTTCTAATTGAATGTTAAAGGCCTACACAACTTGGTTCCAACCTATCTTTTAGCCTCACTGGACATTTCTCCCTCTCTGGAACTTTCTGATCCAGCCAAACTGATGTCCTCTCTGTTCCTTGCACAAAGCCCTCTCGTCCCTCTTCTCTCTGCCTTTGAGCTAGCTCTCTGCCATGCCTGGAACACACTCTCCCAGCCCCTTACTTCCTCCTCATGGAGTGTTGTTCTTTCTTTAAGATGCAGTTCAGTCAACATCTTCTTGAATCATCTTTTTCTAATCCATTTGACTGCTAGCACTCTCTCTCCCAAAATACACTGTATTTAGCTACTTTGTACATATTTGTATCTGTTAACATTATTTTTGTTTTATGTATGGGTGTGTGTGCAAAACATGTAATATGAATTTGTCTCTCCCATTAGAATGTAAGTTCATTCCAAATAGGGATTTTTAAATTTTGGTACTTGTATCCTCAGCAGCTAGCATAGTTCCTGGCATTTAAATACTGTTGACTGATTTTTTTAATCCAAATACAGAACTTTATATTCATCCCTCATAGATTTCATTTTCTCCAATTCAATCTTTTGAACCTATTGAGATCTTTTTGAAACCGTACTCTATCAGCTTCTAAGGTATGTGTCATCTGCAATTTGACAAGCCTGCCATCTGTTCCACTAAGTCACTCATAAAAAGTGTTGAACAGCAGAGGACCAAGGGCAGATTCTGGGGCACTCTCCTAGACAGAGACTTCCCTCAAAGTTGAAATAGTACATTTTGGATATGATCAGTGGCTTTTGTTGGGCAGTGGAAGCCTCTCCAAGCATCTGTTCTTTTGCTTTCACTTGGAGGGTTTTGGGGGAGGCGTTTGGTGAGGAGGTTGAGCCAAAGGGCTGGGAAGCACTGGAGTTGGGCAAGTAGGGGACTTATGTGATCAGAACTACACTTAAGGAAAATTACTTTAGCAGCAGAATGTAGGATGGACTACAGAGGGGAGGAAAAACTTGACTGGGACCAATGAAGGAGGCTGATGCAACAAGTGAGAAGAGATGAGAACCTGAACTAAAGTAGTAGCTTTGTAAGTAGAGACAAGGGGAAAGGTGTGAGAGATGTTGAGGAAATGGAAATGATGACATTTGGCAACTTATTTGATATGTTGGGGGAGGAAGAGTGAGGAGCTCAGGATAATGGCAAGCTTATGAATCTCAAGTATACAAAACAGAAGAGGAGTAGCTAGTATTAAGCTTTTAGAACTTAAAACCAAACTAAGACTTCTGGCACACTCTGTAGAACCTCAGAGGTTCTTTGTGGCTCTGAGGTTGTGATTTTCTATTATCTGAGGCAGTATTTGTCATGAAGTATTGTGAAATGTACTGCCATTTTTCAAATATTTCTGCTGACTAGTAGTTACCAAGTGAAGCAAAGGCAAATGATCCTGTTCTTTCCCATAGGTGAAGGTTTGCAATGGATTTCTGAAGTATTTCACCTGTGCAACCCATTAAGAAGCCAAACTGATGCAATCATGTTGAAATCATGGCTAGCTGAAACATGGGTGAATCTGGCAATGGTGGATTACCCATATAGTTCAGACTTTTTAATGCCTTTGCCTGCTTGGCCTATTAAGGTAACAGAAACATGTTCTTCAATCATTCTTAATGCTACTTTTGTGTTTAATATGCATCTATCTCACTGTCACCATTAGGTTGGAAGACACTTTGTTGAAGAAGAGCCTTTTAGGTGGTGTTTTACTCTATAAAATTCAATGCTTTTATGGAGTCAACAAACAGGAAACACAGTGATATCTTGTATTCTCTGCATCCATTGAGTCAATTGTGTGATGGTAAATATGTACTGTACTGTGGGAGCATCACTTGCAAAAACCTGTCTTTTTTTTTTAATATCCTCGTCCAGGATTTCCTTTATGAGACAGGATGGATAGCTTGTTCTCAAAAAAAGTCATATCGATGAATTAGTCATTGATGTTCTTTCAGTGGCTTTTATTTTGTAATAAGGTCTGAAATCTTTTTTTCATGCCTTTGCCATCTTACTCTTTATTATTCATATACTTTGAGAATCAGCCTATGAACACCCTCAGAATTGCGTAGCCTCCAACCCACATCTCTTCTGTGTATACATTGTCTAGTCTTGCTGGGTTTTTTCCTTCCAACTTTGTTTTCTTTAATATTATTTCTACTTCCTGTATAGTGTCCAGGTCAAGGGGAATGGTCATCATGCTGTCCTGGTTTAACCACATCTGGAGTGTTCTGTTCAGTTCTTTTAGTCCATTTTAGAGAGTACAGATAGTTTTGAGTGTGTCTAGAAGAAACTTACAAGGGTGAGGAGAGAGGAGACCTTGGAATGCAAGGATTGATTGGTGGAACTGGAAGTGTGTAATGTGGAGAAGAGAAGACTTTGAGGTTCAGGGAGGGCTTAGAAGGTGGGGTGGAGAATATGATAGTAAGCTTCAGAAATTTGAAGAGTTATTATTCATGGAAGAGGGATTAAACTTTTCTCTGCTTGTTCACTGAGGGCAAAAATAGAAGCAATAGATGCAAATTGTAGAGAGGCAGATTGGGGCTTAATGTAAAGAAAACTATCCCCACAAATGGAGCTGTTTCAAAGTGTAATGGATTGCATCAAGGGTTAATGGATTTCCCTCCTCATCAAGAGTGTTCAGGTAAAAGCTATCTAACCAGCTTTTTGATAGTGATGTAGAAGGATTCTTGCTCAGGTGTCTTGTGAACCACATGGCCTTTGAAGTTAGTCACTTCTAGCTCGGAGAGGCTGATTTGTGAAGGGAACAACTATTCAACTTGTTACAGAGTCAGTGTTTCTTAAATCTGAAAAGCATAATCACCAGTGAGTTTTGATTGTAAAAAGTTTTCTTGTGGGAGATCTGGCATCAAAATAACGAAGGGAAAATGTCCAAACTAGCTAGTTGTTTTTTTTTTTCATAGTAGAGTATTTCTCTGTACAAAATAGTCCAGTGGATACACCTTTGGAATTGAGAGGCCAGTCTTTAGTAACCATTGTATTACAACACACTGTAGTGGGATGGTCATTTTAAATTCTTTCCCTTAGTTTTCCAATCTACAAAATGAGAGTAATATTTGAAAGTCTCTATCCTCATGGGAATGATGCAATCATAAGACAGCAATTATAAAAGTGTGTTAAGTGCTTAGGAGCTGTTATAATGTACACCCAAGGTACTGCTATTCTTTTAAAAAGTGCAAACTTAGTGGAATTTGTTTTATAGTTAGTTGGTCCAGCTCCATGATGTCCTATGGTAAGAGATAGAGTCTGCTGACCTTATTTTCCCCAAATTTTGTAATCTGTTTAATTAAGTGTTGATTTAAAAAAAATTAAGACAATAGTGTACTCATTATAAGTGAAAGGATAATGTGCTGTTCTCAGAAGCCTCTCACCACTGCCAATCTAGTATACTCTAATATATACTTTACATTTTTTTCCTCATCTAACAATACTCTTCTTGTTGATGTTCTTAATTTTTTTCAAGGTCATAAAATTTCTGTGTTTCTGTATGTTTCCACTTTTTTTCTTCTTTTGATCAGATCTAGCTTTTATCATTTGCATTTCAGTTCATTTTTTACTAGCTTTATCCTAACTCTTCAAAGTTGAAGGAATTCTTGAGTGATTGAACTACACTTCTCTTTGATGTAATTAAAAAAAACCCATGATATACTCTATTCTTGTATTCATGTATGGAAATATTTGTTGCTTCTGGATATTTTCAATTTTCTTTCAATATTGCTTCCCTGCTTTTCAAAAAATTTACACTACCGGCTTTTTTCCACCTTTCTAGCTTTGGATCACTTTCTCTCAGCTCTTCATTCCATTTCTCCATTCCTGACCTTCTTTATGTTGTTCTCCTATTCCACTAAGCTCTGGAGCACTAGCCGGTTGGTGACTATTCTTTCACTTGGATAGTTCCATTTATTCAGAACTCCTCCTCCCTCTGATCCATTTCCTCCTTTTTAAAGGGTTAACAAACAGCTATCCTTTTCTGATTTGTGACTTGAACTAAGAATTTCAGGGTGGCATGTTACAGATGACATATTTAAATATCTCTAAAATACTAGGGGAATTTAAATCCTGGATTTCACATGCTTGGAATCATCATTGGTTAGTATCCAAATTTCAGTAATTTCCTTTTGATTGTTTTTGTACATTTTTATATGTATAGATGGGTTCAATTTCCTTTTGTATATTGTTAACAAAAGCTGCAGCATTCATACAAAAATAATTATGGATTGTGCTGATGGATTAAAAATAAAATGAGAGGAGAAAATAGAAATACCCCTGTCATTTGATTGTTCTATCAACACCTTCAATACTGGATCTCTTGTCAGGCTAAATGGCATTTTTTCTTAGGGAATAGCTCATGAAACCTTTTAGCTTAGTCTTCTGAGCATACAGATAGATACAGTGAAATAATAAGATGCAAAATGGAAAATCCCTTCTGCTTGTTTTCGTGTTTTATAACATACACGACCTCTCTGGGTGGTTTAAGCGGTTTAGGTGCATTCTATGAAAAGAGAGCTTTTAATGACAAAACTAATGTGATTATCTGAGTGAGAGTGAGGGCTATTGAGGACTGAGGGAAAGAAAATCTGTTAGAATAGTTGAATGTATCTGCTTAATCTTTTCTGTAATGTGGATGGACCATACTTTCTAAAGGGAAGAAATTAGCCTTTTTTTAAAAAACAAAAAACAGACTGTCTTCTTTCCTTCTCTTCTTTCCAAACCTCTCCTCCCTTCCTCCCTTCTTTATCTTATTCAAACACTTACTCTCAGATGTAGAACCACTGGAAGTTTTAAAAAGAATTATTATTCTTGCTTTCCTTGGCGTGTATGGGAATAAGGATAGAACCTGATATATTTGTGGGCAAGGGAAATATGCATTTATTAAATGCCAAACACACGCAAGGCACTGTGCTAAACACTGTACAAATATTATCTCTTTTGATATTTTAGTGTAAAGTCGACTAGATTATGTCCCAAGGTTAGAATTTTCCTTTCCTTTAAACTTTGGTTCCTCATCTGATCAAGAGGTTAAGCTCTTACCTCCATCTTCCTAGCTGTGGAAGGGAGAACTAAAAAAGAACGCCCATGTAAAGTACTTTGCAAACCTTAAAGTGCTATAGAAATGCTAAGTGGCATTATGGTTATTTGTAAAAGGAAGGTAAAATCAACTTAAGTCCAGTCATTTCAAATGCTGATGCCTGAAGCTTTTAGCACTCCCTTCACTACCTGGCACTGATTGAAGAGTTCCTCCTTCCCCCACTATTGTAGCCACAGGAATAATCTCCTCTTTTTCTGGGTATTTACCTAGGATATTCTGATACTTGGAGTCTGTGTCCTTATTGGGTATGGGTATACTCCTTCCACCCGTAAAGATTGCTACAACTTTGTGGCACTGTTTGATTCTTGCTCCTAGCTTCCTATGCATCATCCATAAAGAGTCCAACTAACACATCCTGGAGGTCTTTCTCAATTTCTTTTATATTTTTATGTTTGAGGTTAAATGATCAATTTTACTTTATTACTCATTGAAGTATATTGGCAAGAAAATATCTCCAGTTAAAAGTATTGCTCCTAATATTCCTTTCAGTTAGTCTTTTTTAAATTGATGCTTTAAAAAATAAAACAACATTCCAGCAAGCACGCAATTTGTAAAATATATGCCTTAAAAACAGTTTTCAAAACTACCTTAAAAAATGGCTGTGATGGATAGCATGTGTTACTTTCTACGTTTCATTTACTGCTGGTTAATGGAAAAGGAGGTAGACTTTAATTTGAATTATTTAATATCCGTATTGTCCATTGTGTTTGATTTGAGTATTGTTCTGTTTAGTGTTGTCTTCATTTATATTACTGTGGCTATATTGTATATTCTTTTAGTTTTTCTTCCTTTACACAGCATCACTTCATGTAATTCTTACCAAAATTCTTTGTGTTCTTCGTTTTTGTTGTTTTTATTATGGCATGATATCATATATCACAATTTGATCAAACAAGTGTTCTCCAATCATTGGACATATAATTGATTTTCCTTTTATAAATATTGTTGTTATACTTTTTTTTTGCACATATATCTTTCTTACTTTGTTACTTTCATTAACTTGAGGCATAAACCCACTAGTGGGATTTCTAGGTCAATGGATCTGAACAATTTGTTCATTTTTTTTTATAATTCCAAATTGTTTTCCAGAGTGGTTGGACAAATTAACAGCTCTACATTTGCATATACATATATATATATATATATATATATATATATTATATATATATATATATATATATATACATATATGTGTGTATATATATATGTATATATATATATGTGTGTATATATATAGACACATACGCATGCAAGGCCGTCTTTTCTTACAATTCACAATTTCTTTCTCTGACATTATTGTTCATCTAGCTCTGCTTGAATACCTACCATTATGGGGCATTCTCTTCTTTTTGAGGCAAATTATTTCATTGTTGGATAGCTTTAATTATTAGAAAGAGTTTTCTTATATGGAACTGTCATAATGTCATCTTCCCAACCATTCCCAAACTCCCTCCCCTCTCCCCCTTGCCCTATTTATGTTTCATTCTAGTTGTTCTATTCTAGATTCTCTAGTTTTCATTCTTTTTTTTTATTAATTTATTTTGATTTATCAGCTCTAGTTTTCATTCTTAAATAGGACACCAAGCGCTGGTCACACTATTCCAAATGTAGGCTTACAATCATAGAATACTGTGGCATTATTTATCATCTGCTTCACCATAGGCCTTATATTTTTACTACTAGAGTCTAAGATTTTGAAAGTGTTGCTTAATTGGCTGAGTGAGTATTTTTTTTAATTACTCTATTTTGAGATGACTGGGTCAAGTATTAGCGTTCAGATTCAAAAAGTGTATAGCTTAACTCGTAGTTGAACATTTAGTAACTTCTCTGAATAGTTCCTAACTTTCAAATGCTATTGAAAAACTCTGGTTGGCATTTTTCATGCCAAGGCTTTCTTCTAAAGATACTGTGTAAATATAAGGAGTTAGTAATATTACTCCACATAAAGGAGATTTGCCAGAAAAATGAAAGCTATTTACCTTTTTCATTTTCTTGTAACATCAGTTCTTATTTTATTATTGCATTCCAGAGCTGAATGGATTTGTTCAACTTTGATTTTAGTCAGCTCTGTTTAATAGAATTTTAGCGTTGTTGTTCAGTTGAGTCTGACTCTTTGTGACCTCATTTAGAATTTTCTTGGCAAAGATACTGGAGCGGTTTTCTATTTCCCTCTCCAGCTCATTTTACAGATGAGGAAACTGAGGCAAACACAGCTAGTAAATGTCTGAGGCCAGATTTAAACTCAGAGAGATGAGTCTTCCTGATTTCAGGGCCAGCACTCTATTCACTGTCCCACCCAGCTGCCTCCTACTTTAGCATTATACAGCACTTAAAAGTTTAATAACTTTACCCCAAGAAGAACATGGAAGTGAATGGGACATAGCCCCTGTCCTCAAGGGGTTGGTGGAATGTTCCTATAATTTCCTTCAGTTTGTTGGATTTTCTTAATTTTTCTGCTTTTACTTTTCTTTCTTCAATTTCTTAAGACCTTAATTATGAGCAGGGAGTATTCAGGCTAAGCATTAATGATACCTCATTTGGGGAGGTTAGCAGCTTTTTTTAAAAGAAAAGGCACAATTTTGAAATGTGCAAAATTTATCTCCTGTGCTTTTCTACTTCTCCCTTTAAGCATTTTTTTTCCTTCTATTCTTCTTATACATCCCTAACTCAGACTTGACCTTGCAAAACTGTTGACTGTGGATTTATCTCTTTTCCTTTCTTCTTTTCCAAACTTCCCTATTAATTATTTCACTTTGTAGGGAGCTATTCCCAGTTGGCTGCCATATTGGGAGAGAGCTGAGAAACAAATTTATGTTGAGGTCTTCATAGCATATAATAGCTTAAAGTATTATGTTCCTCATTATATTTTAATAGAGGTAATGTTTGTTCTATGGTTCTATGACCTTCCTATCTTTTGTTTTTGCCTCACATTCATTTCCAAATATATTCTTCCTTTGGAGCCAATTTCTAGTTATAGTCCTCATCTCTCCCTTTTCTAAACAGTTTTCTCTCATAACAGGGAATAAAAAAGGAGAGAAAAACTGCACTGTAGGTAAGCAAATCAATACATCAGCTAAATCTGACAGAATATTGAGTGTTCCATGCTCATTTTCCTCCACCAAAAAGATGAGGGAGATGCATCTTTTCTTCTTTTTGGGGCCAAACTTGATTATTTTAATCATACAGCATTTTATAGCATTACACAGTTTCATTGTATCTTTTATATTGTAGTAATTTTGTTTATTATTTTCCTGGTTCTATTTACTTCATTTTTCATCACCTCATATAAATCTTTCCATGCTTCTCTGCATTCTTCATATATATTCTGTGACCTTTAATGAGAGAATTCCAGGCATTTGCTATAATAGGGAAGGTAGTTATGGGGCAAGAGGCCTTTTTAATGTTCCTGAAATCACATCTAGTAGGCAACTCTTCATATGTAAAGTTAGCTTTGGGGCTACTTATCAGTCAAAGTGAGAAGCTGAACTTTGTTTATTTCAGGAACTATAGCACCATAGAGAAATCTAGAAGGTAAAAATAATAATAATATGTTTTATCATCATCAAAAGACACCATAGAATTAATGGCAGGTTTTCAATATAGTTTAGACAAAATTTAATTTTATATTTATATTCTTTCTCTTTCCTGATATTCTCCTTTTTTTATCTTTTTAAAACAATAGGAGGTATGCAAATATCTGAAAGATCCCAGTGCATCAGATAAAATATTGGTACAGAATATTTTCCAGGCAGTGAATATCTATTACAATTATTCCGGAGAAGCAAGCTGCCTGAATACCTCACAAACAGCAACAAGCAATCTTGGGATCCAGGGCTGGAACTATCAGGTAAAGATATATAATTTTCCTATAAAAGGACCTTCTTTAAATATCAGCTGCTATTAATTCTCAATTAAAGATATTACAAGCTATGTTAATAACTTCATTTTTATCATTTTACTGCTTTTGGCTTTTACTTGATGGCCTGCTTGCAAAGTTTATCCAAGACAAAACCAACGATAGTGATTTGGGTAAAGCAGGCGTAATTTCTTTTGTCTTTGCTTTTTAGGCCTGCACAGAAATGGTAATGCCCATTTGTACCACTGGTATCAGTGATATGTTTGAACCTCAGGCGTGGGACTTTGCTGCATATTCTGACCAGTGTTTCCAAGAATGGGGTGTGAGACCTAGACCTTCATGGATTCCAACTGTGTTTGGTGGTAAAAACATCAGTTCACACAGTAACATCATCTTCAGGTGAGTGTATCTTCATGAACTGCTGAGGCATCTTGGTCTAATAAGACATTAGTAAAACAGCTGAGAAAATATGATTTGGAAAACACTAGTGAGCTGTGTAGTTTGGATTAGAAATCTTAGTTATCTTTTCCTATTCCTTGTAAGATAAAAAAGACAGAAAATAAATATATTTTGTACTTATTACCCCATTTGCTTAAACAGCTTTACAAGGGCAACAGCATGTGATATCAAATTGAAGTATATATTCCTCCCATTTTGTCTTAAGAAGCTAAGCATTTGGGATGTGTTTATGTCAAAGTTAATCGAGTGAAATGTATACGTGAGTACGTAGGTTGTGAATTTGGAATTTCTAAATATTGCCTGGAACACTAGATTTCCCATTATAAAGGTAAGAGTTAAGCATATTTTCCCCACACACTTAGAGCTCATACCCTCCAGCAAACTTCCTTGTCTTTGTAAAGAGTGCACCATGAGGGACACACACAGACCCTCCAAATCTGGGTCTTTGTTCAAATTGCAAATTCATTTCTTTTAGAAACTTCTTTAAACAAGTCAAAATTAGCTGTTGGGTCATAGCAAATAGCCCGAGTCTTTTAAAAGTGAGAAGTACTGGCTTGAATTAGAGGATTACTTTGAGGCTTTCAGAGGCAGGCATTGGCTAGCTTTGCTAAAGAGCTGCTGTCTTCTTTTGCTCTTGCTGTTACTAGCTCAGCAGGGTATCAGCCCCAAACTAAAAACTGCATCACTTTGATGGAAAACTTACAGCTCCATCTTGTTGAATTTCTTTAAATTGAGTTACTTGTCTTCATTATAATTCTGTAAAACTATACTGTACAACCCAGCTTTATAAAGTGACAGTTGAACAAATAAACCTGTTTTAGAGTATTTAAGGGGTCCATGCCAGATTAGGATGTTTGCAACTATAAAAGCCTCAAAGCAACCAAATGAATGAGAAAAGAAATAAGTGCTTAAACACAACACTGTGAGACTCAAAGCTCATCTTGGTCCTTTCACAGGCAGATACTTTGTCACCATTTTGTACTTTAGGAACCTACCTTCACTACAGTATCTGTCTGGTGGCTGTTTTTCCATTAGGTACTCTTAAAGTGGTTGTATAGCGTTTTAATATCAATTGAATGACACATATATTCAACCAAAGTTCTTTTAAGTATCTACTAAATACAAAGATGTAAAGTACATGGTCCCTGCCTTCAAGAAGCTGACAGTGTAGCAAGCAGGTTACCACTGGTGAATTTAAATTTTATATTTGATTTGTTCCCACCAAAAGGAAATCATGGTTGGACTGAAATGGAATCTTAGGCCTTTGTATGATAGTTTTATGTGGGAAGTGCTGCAATTCATCTCCTTTTTTAGTGCAAGCAGTATTGGTGATACTTATGGCAATCAGCAAATATTCACCACATTCCTAGAATGTATCAGTTACTGTGCTAAGTGCTGGGACTGCAAAGACAAAAATGAAAGAGTGTTTAAGGAGCTGGTATTCTATTGGAGGAAATGGCATTTACACAGAGGCAAATATGAAATATATTCAGCGTAAATACATGGGGTTAGGGAGGGGCCAGAAGGGGAATCGGGGAAGGGCAGCCCTTTAGTAGAGTTTTGAAGGAAATTAGGGCTTCTAAGAGGTGGAAATAAAGGGGAACTGTCTTCTTGTTGAGAGGAATAGCCTGTTGTTAAAGGCATAGATGGGATGTGATGTGTTAGGAATGGCAAGGAGACCATTTTGAATACCACAGAGGGCAGATAGGGGAGGAATGCCTAACCAGCCTGGAAAGGTAAATTGGATCCAGATTATTAAGAATTTGACATGCCAGACAGAGGAGAAGGCAGGATTAGGCATTTGAGAGGCAGTAGGGAGCCACTGGAACTCTTTGAACAGTGGAGTAATGTGGCTTGACCAGCTTGTATAGAATGAAAGGGATATGGGAGAGACTTGAAGCAGGGAAACCAATTAGGAGGCCATTCTAATAGTTCAAGAGAGGTGACAAGAACCTGAACTAGAGTGATGGCTATGTGACTGGAAACAAGGAGGGTGGATATGAGAGATGTAAGGGAAGTAGAGTTGATAAGACATGTGGGGTGAGGGAGAGTTGGGATAACAGCTAGGTTACAACCTGATTGATTAAAAGGATGGCAGTACCTTCTGCAACAGTAGGGAAGTTTGGAAGAGGAGTAGGATTTGGGGAGCCAGGAAAGATAATGAGTTCTGTTTTGAATCTTTTGAGTTTGAGGTGCTTTGGGTACATATGATTTGAAATATTGAGTTGAAAGTTGGTAGTGAAGATCTGGAACTCAGGAGAGAGATTAGGACTGGATATATGCATCTGAGTCATTTACATAGAGATGATAACTAAGCACATGGGAGCTCGTGAGACCGCCAAGAAAGAAAATTTAGAGAAAGACCCAAGATGGAACTTTGGGGCACATCTACATTTAGGGAACTGGACATAGATGGCGCTCAAGCAAAGGAGCCTGAAAAGGCAAGGTGAGAATCAAATGAGAGTGGTGTTATAAAAACTAAGAAAAGAAATTATCTAGGACTAGAGGGTGGTCAACAGTCTCAGTCTCTAAGGAGAGATCAATAAGGATGAGAACTGAGAAAAAGCCATTAGATATAGCAATTATGAAATCACTGGTAACTTCAATTACCTACTGTAATTTTCTCCACGAAGTCTTTCCCAACATTTTTTAATTCTAGTGCCTCCCCTCTTTTAATTATTTCCTGTTTATCCAGTATACATCTTGTTTGTACATGTTTCTTTGCTTCTTGTCTCTCCTATTAGATTGTGAGTTTCTTGGGGGCAGGGACTATCTTATACCTCTTTTTGTATTCCCAGCACTTAGCACAATACCTTGTACACAATAAGCACTTAATAGATGTTTATTGACTGATTGACTGGAGAGAGCAATTTCAGTCAAATGATGAGGTCATGAACCAGATTGTAGGGGTTGGAGAAGTGAGTAAGAGGATGGATGCAATGAGTGAAGATAGCTTTTTCTAGAAGTTTGCCTGTGAAAAAGAAGGTGAGATATAGGATGATAGCTTGAGAAAATGGTCAGGGCAAGCAAGGGTTTTTAAAAAATGAGGAAGACTAGCATATTTGTAGATAGCAGTCAAGAAACCAGAAAACTGGGACAAAATGAATATTAATTAAAGAGATGGAATGGTTATGGGGATAATTTTCTGGAGAAAAGATGAAGAGTACAAGTTAGAGGAGTTGACCTTGTCAAGGAGAAGGGCCACCTCATCATCATTGAATACAGTAGAGAAAGAAATAATGGAGCATAACATCATGTAGAATAGAGGAGAAGGAAGAGCAAATGGTTAATGTTGAAAAAGTGAAGCTTCTTCATTGACTCATTTGGGGAGGTTAGCAGCTTTTTTTTTAAAGAAAAGGCACAATTTTGAAATGTGCAAAATTTATCTCAGTCAAAAGAGCTGTGTGTCTTCCTCCATAGAACCATTCAGCAATGTGTGAGGAGGAGCAGAAAAGGTAGATGGTGGGATATAGGATAAAATAAATAACAAAATAAAATTTAAGTTATTTGAAGAAGACAAGGATAACAAACAGAATGGCTCTACAAAGGCCCAAGACCTATCAGAATAATCTAATTTCCTTTTGTGGTAAAGTGGCAGCCTAGGCAGAATGACAGAATGTAATCTAACTTCAACCTTTTTAAATTCTGTCCACAATGATATGTTATCTAGAGCACAACATTGTTATATAAATGCATGATTAACAAGAGGTCAGGCTCAGAGAATTGTTATTAGTGGATCAGCCCACAGTTGGGATTTGACAATGTGTGAACAGATGTAGAAAAAGGGTGCAATAGGTTTGAGAGAAAAGGACAGTGTATAGTTGAACCGGTTAACCATAGGGTTAAGATCAAAAAGGGAGAAAAGTAAAGCCGGATGAGGGGTGATGGTCTGTGAGAGTATTGAGGGATAGAGGGACTGAAGGTCCAAGTGAGAATGAATAAGTTTAGGAGGGAGGCATAGAGGGAGATAGAATGCTGCTTCTATGGAGGAATTTCAGAATTGTTGATCATTAAAGTGGAACACTTTGGATGAGGATGAAATCAAGGGTGTGACTGTTTCTTTGTGTAGCTAAGCTGGATTGGCGATGTAGGTCAGGAGAGTTGAGCGTACTGACGAACTGAGAGGCCAGGGTGATTGAGGGAACATCAGCACATATGTCAAAGTTCCCTAGTGGAAGGGCATTGGCTGGAGAGGAGAGAAAGGCTGTGTGGCAGATACGAAACTCTTAGGGAGAGCAGAAAGAAAGCTCTGGAGGACAACAGATAACTTCCATAAGAATCTAGAAGGGCTATTCTGTCTGGACAGAATATCACTGTACTCCCAAACTTTCCTGTGTTTTCCATAGACTTGGACATTTTTCGTGTCTAAATAATAGTCTAGGTTTAAAAAAAACCCACAGAAAATATATTTTATGAAAACTTGCAGTAACTAAGCTTCTCATAATACCTATTCTTGTTGTGGATGTTATCCTGGGGTCTTGAAAGATCCTTCTACACTCTTAAAGCCCAAGTTTTGTCAGCCCTACTTAGCTAGAAAAGCTTTAAGCATAATCTTTGTGATTAAATATGTGTATAACACATATTTGTAAATCTAGATGGATAAGTCTATTTAGATATATAAATATTTATAGATAGATATCTGTAGATATATGTATATCTATCTGTTTCTATCAAGATATCTGTACACACATCGGAATTTGAAAAGCCTTTCTAATTTAGGTGATCTATCTTATCTATCTATCTATCTCTTTGTCTGTCTATCTCTGGGTGGTGGTCATCCCTTGTTCTTGAAGAGGGCCAAAATGACATCACTATGTGTGTCCAACTGTGGCCGATCAGACCAATATGAGCTTGTAATGCTCTACCTACCACAGGTCAGGCACAAATAGTCCACGTGAACATTTGTGGTAGATTCTCTAAATTTGTGCATCTAGCAGATT